TTGACAACGAATGCAACATCATTCCTCCTGGATCTGTTCATTCTCAGCGTAGTAAGCCATTTGATTTTCTGATTCAAAATGGCCAATACCAGTCCATTTAAGCTCACCAACACCCAGGCTTTTTATGCATTCCATTTCTGACAACTTAAAATCTTCCTGGGTTCATCATACGTCATACATGCCAAGTTCCAATAGTAATAGATGTTTGCCAGCTGTTTCTTCTCATATGGAGTCATAGCCCCATCAGCAACTGACGGTGCTGAAAGCTTTTTTCTTGAAGGCTTTATTCCATCTGTGTCATTATGGCGGACTCTACTTTGAGAAGGCACCTCTTCCTCAGGCCTATTTTGAGTGTCTTGTGACCTGAGGGGCTCGTCTTCTGGCACGATACCTGACTATGTTCTGCTGATATTCATGATAATTTCCATATCTGACAATGTGTTGATGTTATCCACAAGGTGTGCCGTGGCTGATTCCTCCAAGTGAACAGTCTATACTTTCTTTGTAGTCTTAGTCTGGAAGTCCTGCGGAAACTTGTTCACTTTGGGTGACCCTGCTGGCATTTGAAAATACCAGTGACATAGCAACACACAGCACACCATAGTATGTCAAACTGACAGACAAGTGGGGGGCCTCCTCCCATTACTCATTATAAAATAGCATACATAAACAAGTTTACTATGTATTTGGTTGTATGCAGATTAATTTTTATCATGTTAGGCACAAGTATGACATCATGATTGTCTTATTTAGAGATTATGTATATGTCCTGCAGTTACAGTTCTTAATATGTGTATAAGAGAGCCATCTAGGCAGCAGGACAGAAAAAGATTTCCTGGACCACCAAGGAAGCCATCAATGGAGACAATGCTGTGCTGAGACCAGAGGCCAAGGCAAGGAGAACATGAGGTACAATAGAGGTGCATCACAAAGACCCAAATATGGTGTAGCAGAACAGAGGGTGAGCTTCCTGGTCCACTGAGTTAGAAGTTAAAAAAGCACTATCAGAAAGAAGTTGAGTTGCTGGCTGAGGAGAGGTGCTGCTGTGGACTGAAGACTGTACCCTGATTGGTTTTGATCCTGGCTTGTGGTAACCTGTCAACTTCCCCAGTAAGTCCCTATCATCATGAATGTTGTCTGTGAGCTTTGTATGGCCATTGAAATAGATTATAGAAACCAGCCAGAGGAGTTGAGTACTGTGGGAGGAAAGGATCGTGTGAGAATTGGGCAAAAGAAGGAGGGAGGGTGGATGCATGTCTGACCACTGTCATACAGTAATTGGCCTTGGAATGGTATGGAACTGGATTCTCTTCCTCCCTGTGGAAGCCAGAGGAGGTCAGATGTGGCCTCCACATTAAAAAAAAAAAATCATTTTATTAGGGGCTCATACAACTCTGATCACAATCCATACACACAACAATTGTGTAAGGCACATTTGTACATTCATTGCCCTCATCATTCTCAACACATTTCCTCTCCACTTAAGCCCCTGGCATCAGCTCCTCATTTTCCTCTCCCTCCCCGCTACCCCCTCCCCCATGAACCCTTGATAATTTATAAATTATTATTTTGTCATATCTTACACCATCCAACATCTCCCTTCACCCACTGCTCTGCTGTCTGTCCCCCAGGGAGGAGGTTATATGTAGGTCCCTCTAATCTGTTCGCTCCTTCTCCCTCACCTTCCCGGTTTCCCCACTCTCACCACTGGTCCTGAGGGGTTCATCTGTCCTGGATTCCCTGTGTTTCCAATTCCAATCTTTGTGCCAGTGTACATCCTCCGGTCCAGCCGGATTTGTAAAGTAGAATTGGGATCATGATAATGGGGGGGAGGAAGCATTCAAGAACTAGAGGAAAATTGTATATTTCATCATTGCTACACTGCACCCTGACTGGCCCATCTCCTCCCCGCAGCCCTTCTGCAAGGGGATGTCCAATTTCCCACAGATGAGCCCTGGGTTCCCACTCCACACTCCCCCTTATTCACAATGCTATGATTTTTGTGGTGTGTGTGTGTGTCTGATACTTGATACCTTCAATGCCTCATGATCTCACAGGCTGGTGTGCTTCTTCCATGTGGGCTTTGTTGTTTCTCAGTTAGATGGTCCCTTGTTTATCTTCCAGCCTATAGGACCCCAGATTCTATTTCTTTTGACAGTCGGGCACAGCTTTCTTCACCGAATTTGCTTATGCACCCACGTTGTCTTCAACGATCTTGTTGGGGTAGGCTGGTGTGCTTCTTCCATGTGGGCTTTGTTGTTTCTTAGCTAGATGGCCGCCTGTTTATAGCCTTTAAGATCCCAGATGCTATATCTTTAGATAGCCGGGCACCATCAGCTTTCTTCGCCACTTTTGCTTATGCACCCGCTTTGTCCTCAGCGATCGAGTTGGGACAGGCTGGTGTGCTTCTTTCATATGGGTTTTGTTGTTTCTCAGCTAGAAGGCTGCTTGTTTATCTTCAGGCCTTTAAGATTTCAGATGCTTTATCTTTTGGTAGCCGGGTACTATCAGCTTTCTTCACCACATATGCTTGTGCTCCCATTGTCTTCAGTGAACGTGCCAGGAAGGTGAGTATCTCAGACTGCCGAATTGTTAGAACAAAGTGTTCTTGTGTTGAGGGAGTACTTGAGCAAGGGCCCACTGTCCATCTGTTTCCTTAATACTCAACCTATAAATATATGTACATAGATCTATTTCCCCCTCGTCGTATATAAATATATTTACATCTTTATATGCCTGTATTTAAATCTCTAAGACTACCCTTTGCCTCCTAGTTCTTTCCTCTATTTCTTTGTACTTTCCTCTTGTCCCACTATCATGTTCAGCCTTCATTTGGGTTTTAGGAATTCCTCTCAGTTACATTGCCCTTGATCCAGCCCTGTCAGACCTCTTACACCCTCTTTGCCACTGATATTGGATCACTTGCTGTTCCCTTGTCCCTGGGTTTGTTAACACCCACTTCCTTTGCACTCCCCCCCCACCTTGCCTCCCCTTCTCCAATGCCCTTTTCCAGAACTGTCATTCCGTTGTTCTCTCTTCCAGCTTGTTTATCCCGCCTATCCCTTCCAGGTAGACATGCTATGTACCATCACAAGACTGAGTACAACAAAGCAATAATAGAAAGTAAAACAATAGCTACTACAACAACAACACACACACAAAAAAACATATAAATAGTTCAGGGTCTATTTGTTGTCCTCCATGAGTGCTTTCTAGTCGAGTCTGATGGGGTGCCATGCCCTGGCACCACCTCGATCCCTGGGGACTTCATTGCTCTGCTTCCCCCGCTGCTCTGCTGCATGCTCCTAGAGGCTGGCTTCAGTGTGGTGAGCTCAGGGCGGGCACAATTCCTATCGCTCCACATCTTCTTCGTGTGGTTGAAGGGTGGTATGGGTGGCAAGTTGATCAGAGGTGGGTAGTGACAATGTTAAGTGTTGGCTGGGCTATGATTCTCAGTGGTTTGGAGGCACTGAGCAATCACTTTCTATTTTGTGATCTCACGTGAGCTGCCAATCAATTGGAAAGAGAATTTCTGTGATGTGCGATCCGAGTCCAGAGGGTAAAAAGATGTCCTAGCAAAGCCTCCACCCAACTCTCAACCCTGCCACCTTCTCATCATCTAACTGTTGGTTGTTGGAATGCAAACCAGCTGAGTCCTCTAGCCTGTCCCCTGACCTGCGATTGTAGGTGCATCAGCCCCTGCAACCACATGAGCCAGTAGTGGTCCACTGTCATCTGACCAATGGCTTTGAGGCTTTCCAACCCCCATTACAGCACGAGCCATTTCCGTACCTATGTGTAAGTCATTCTTGTAGGAGTTTCTATACATATATATACCTATGTACATTTCACTGGTCTTGTTCTCCTACAGAACCTAGACTAAGAGAGAGAATCATGCAATCAGCAGCTATTGGGCAAACTGTTTAAACAGACCTGGGCTTGAATTTCAGCAATATACTTACTTCTGAAAACTTTCATTAAATGACTTCATCTAAGCGTACCTAATTCTGCCCAGCTTGTGGGACAAAAGAGGGCACTCCATTGGAACATTTATGAGACATATAGGGCCCAATACAGTACTGCGGGAACGAAGCATTACCAACTACACACACACACAGAGTCCTCTTGACAATATGTCCTTCTAATACGTTCTGGCTTATTCTCTCCATTCTACACAAGCTAACTTACTTCGAGCATGGTGGTTTTTGCGTTTGTTTTTAAATTTTTTATTGTGAAAGTTTACAAAGCAGATCAGTTTGCATTGAAGAGCTCATACACATTGTTTTCTGTCACCGAGGGCAACGCCCTCCATCCTCCTTACTCTGTTTCCTTCTTCCATTCGTCTTTCTTGTCTAGCTGTCCTCGGTTTGTCCTGGGTAAATGCTGCTCTGTCGAGCTTAAATAGCGCACACCTCCCTAGTGTTCTTGTTTCATTTCTAGAGCTGACTTTTATTTAGCTGCAAATAGAATCAAGGGGGGGCTGGAGGGTGAGTTCAATTCCTGACCTAAGGAAAACGGAAGGGCCATTGTCTCAGGGGTTCCACGAGGCCCTGTTGATCTTACAGATCAACAGGCATGTTCCACTGCCTCAGAGCCTTTGCTTGTGTAACTATGCATCGTTGTGAACATGAGTCTTCTTCAGAAAAGCTGCTAAGATTAAATGTGCTAGGTTTTCCTAGCTGAATATTAAGAAAAGCTGTTTACAACCATAGTATTGTGTCATCCGTCTAAAACCTTCTCTCTCTTCACTCCTAATTTACATGTCACCTGAGAACAGGTAATGATGACTCTTCCTTCATTTATAAATAACCCCAAAGATCACACTTCCAGCTCTGACAATTCAAGTGAATGTGTGTGTGTGCAGCTGAGAATCAAAGAGTTGACATTTTAAAGGTATTTGTTTTTAATCTTGATACTTTCAAAGAATTTTGCTAGTGGGTTGTTTTATTGTTTTGTTTGGTTTTTTGGAGAAGACAAAGGGAGGGAAAAAAATCTATATGTCTGTTTCAATAGGTTACTTTATTGATATATCATTCTAAGCATTACATAAATACAATCTTCATAATACAGTATAAAATGTTCCGATAAGAAGTTCAAAACTACATTTAAGTTAGGGCTGTTTTAAAAATGTGAATACTTTGGCTTCCATTATTATATCAGATGAAAAAAGCAATTCAAGAGAAGGATTTTCCGTTATTGTCGTGATTAACAACACCAAGTTAAAAAACAAGACAAAACATGAGTATACATTTAAAAAATATGCTATCTAAGGACTTTTTGAAGGATTTACTCCTGTTATTTTCACTATTATTCATATTCATACAAATTACTTGGTAATTCAAGAAGTGGTTCTTAACCCGCATTAAAAACTCAGAAATAATTTTCTGAATGAATGGATTATGTAAATGGATCCACTACTTTAATTTGTTCTTTATTTTAAATAGTTTTTTTTTCAAGGAAGAACAACAGTAAACATTGAAGTTCTCATTTTGTTTATCTCATAAGCCAACAGAACAGTGGTTGTTACATAGTGAATACATTAATGTGCATTTATCAACCTACAAAGAAAAAGACTATCACAGGTTGCAGAATGAATTTTAACCGACTAACTAATTGGACTTCAATCACTTGCAATGTGGCCATGAAAAGGGGGCTTCGAGGTTTTGTTTAGATTTTGTCAATCAACAAATTTTTAATTGCTGAGTCACTACCCCCAGCATTGTTGATAGTAGTCACTGTAGCATCTCCTCATCTTCTTGCTAATTAATAGACATGAAAATACATTCAGAAAATGAGTTGCTAAGGCGCTTTTGCAAATGGAAATGAGTTCATGGACCAGAGAACAGCTTTGTCCTTACAGCAAGCTCAACTGGATACATGATAAAACTCCGAGTGGAACACCGTTAAAATCACGTGTCATGACCATCCTCCAAATGACAGAGCCAATTCCTTTTGCATAAGATCTTTTCAGGAAAACCAGAATTTTGATCCAGTTCAGGGTTCAAGTATACGAAGTATCATAGCGAAGTCAAAAGTGGAAGCTAGTGAGCTTTCAAATATGCAAATCTGTGATGGAATGTGACCTACATAAAGTAATGCAAACTTCATTAAGATCTGAAGGAAAGTCGGTTTTAAGAACTTCTTGGTTCAAGTCTTATGTATGAGATCTAAAGAATCAGCAGCCGTAGTTTACAAGGTGAGAGCACAGTGTCTATGTCATTATTCTCTTCCTGTGAGGCAACTCTTTATAGAAGAAATGATGAGGGGAGCAATTTAAATTTACGTTCTCAAATTTTACTTCGAAAGGGCTCAAGTAGAAAGAAAATGTTTTGGAAATGATGTTGGCAACCTATGTACAAATATGCTTGATACAATTGATGTATGGATTGTTATACTAGCTGTAAGAGTCCCTGGTAAAATGATTTATTAAAATTAAAAAATGTTTACTTTAATAAGATAAAACACCATTGGATAAGTGGTGGAGATTCTAATTTGTAAGACGTCCCCTTTGTCCAAAGTTTCTTTAATTATTCACATTTACACAAACAGTTCTAAATTACCACTCTTTATTGTACTTAAATCTGAACACAAATCTGGGAAATTTCGACATTGGTATTTGCACAACTATAATTTCAATGGAGTTGAATTTAACTTTAAACTTCAATATACCAGGAAGTTAAGAAAGTCATCACAGTGTAAGCACACAAAACAAAACCCCAAACAATCTTAACTCCTTCACAGCACATGAACTGGCTGCATGCCAAGAGGTCCTGAGGCTGGCGTCTTATCTCCCAGTCAGTCCTCTACATCCGCCTCACAACCTGTGAGCCATCAAACTCCTAGCATCCCACTATGTGACCTGGGAAACTTGCCTTTATCTTCCACGGTCTACAGGGTTTGTACGTTCTTTTAATAAAAGGAGCTGCAGCCAAACTCTCACCCTTTTACAATGTTCCAGTCCAAATGTTAAGAGAGGTCCCACTTAAAATACATGTATCTGGAAATAACAGTTGCTTTCAAAGCTGCCCGTCTTTCGAATAAGCCTACACAGAAGACTGCGCAGTTGTATGAGCCCCTAATAAAATGTTTAAAAAAAAAAAAAAAGGAAAAGGTGTACAAGTGTGCTTGACACAATGGAGGTATGGATGGATTGTGATAAGAGCTGTATGACCCCCCAATAAAATTATTAAAAAAAAAAAAAAAAAGACCTGACTTTAGTTTTTACCTGCAGAATTACATCACCCATGGGGCACAAATGGGACATGCCACCCACAGTGCCCCAGAGCATACACACAGAACGCACAGCCTTCAGCTTCAGTTCTTAAAGGCTCCACATTTACTGGCTTTAGCAATGAACTCCTTTAGCAGCGGGCCATCCATTTGCCAAAATGCTGCAGTCTGTGTAACTCCGGTCAAGTGATTGATGCAAAATTTAAAGCAGAATTCTTCTAAATCCTAGACACACATAACAAAAGTAAAAACAGGAAGAGGCCTTTTTTTTATTAACTTTGATTGAATTACTTCTCTTCAAAACCCAGTTTTGCATCTTTCCCTGGAAAAGACTTTTGAGGAGCTAGAAACATCAGATACACAAACAAGTAGCCTGCATGTAGTAAGTTTATAAAAACACATGCTATTCAATCATAACAATAAAAATCAGTGGTTCCCTGACTGAAGTCTGGTTCTTTAACACACACACACACACACACACACACACACACACACACACAATGTGTATTGGGGTTGGGAGGCAGGAATCTTCTCCATGGTTATCACATCATCTAATCATGCTCACCACCATTCATTTGTCAGTGTATCATATCGTGGTGGCATCAGTGATGCTGGAAGCTAGGCCACCAGCATTTCAAATACTGGGAGGGTTACCCATGGTGGACAGGTTTCAGCAGAGGGTCCAGATTCAGAGAGAAGAGTCGGAAGGAAAGCCTGAGTATTTACTTCCGAAAATTCGCCTCTGAAACCTTACAGATCACACGAGACTCTCACTCGGTATATGCTGCCAAATGAATCCCTTCAATTGGAAGGGAGTCCTCAAAATACACACGGCTACAACAATAGACTCCAGCATCGTAACGGTCATAGTGCAGGACCAAGCAACATTTCCAGCTATCGTCCACGGAGCCAGAGCCTGCTCGATGGGAACTAACGACAACTGTCAGACACTGAGACGTGAAATCCACGTTAGTCCGCATCAGATGCCTTCCTACGTTTAATACATTAGAGAACAAATGAAGATATGATTATTTAAGGAAAAATGCTTTAAGAAACAGAAACATGATGAATCAATATGATCAACTTAAAGGGGAAAACTCCAAGGATCTAAAACGGTCATATCTTCCCTTAACTAAAAGTACCTTCATTTAAAAGTCACACATGCAGTTCCCAGCATGCCAATTTTTCAGCTCGTTAACGCCATAGAAGTACATTCACACAAGCTGGGCTTTTCATTCAGACCACCAATATTCTTTTTTTTTTTTTTTTCCAGACTACCAGTATCCTCATGGAAAGTCATCAGCTACCAACATAGAGAACATGGATGAGGAAAGGAATATTTACAACTGGTAGAACAGAACGATGTAAAAATCGATGTCTGCCTGTGCAAATACTTCAAGGACTATCTTGAATAAAATGCTGAGATAGGATGATATCTATACCCATACAAGGCAATGTAGTTATAAAATGCTGAGATAGGATAATATCTATAATACCCATACAAGGCAATGGAGTTAGTACTACTATTATTCAAATTTATGCAGCAACCATTAAAATGAGGGATAAAGAAATTGAAGAATTCAACCAAATGTTTCAATCTGAAACGAATCAAATATTCAATCAAGATGCAGTGATAATGGCTGCTGATTGGCATGAAAAAGATGGAAACAAAAAAGTAGGAAAATACAGTCTTGGTGATAGAAATTAAGCTGAAGATCCCGTGATAGAATTTTTAAGACCGACAACTTCTTAGCTGCAAGTATCATTTTTGACAACATAAATGGGAACTACAGACACATAGTTCACCCGATGGAATATACAAGAATCAAGTTTATTACATCTATGGGAAGATACGATGGATAAGCTCACTACCAAACGCCCAAATGAGGCCAGTGGCTGATTATGGAACAGAACATCAACCGGTCATTTGTTCAGGAACGGACTATCAAGTGCGCATTTTGTTCAGGTCAAAGCTGAAAAATTAAAATAAATCCATGAGAGCAAACGTATGACCTTGAATCCCCCCACAGCAGGGCGAATCACGGTGGGAGCACAACAGATCGGCAAGGGGACCAAAGGCTTGAAGTCCGCGAGGAATCCCGAAAACAGACTTCTGAGGGACAGTGCTTGGCACCTCATCAGACCTGGTTGGGAGTACCCACAAGGGGTCCACGCTGAAAGCCTAAAGGTGTAACAGGGTAGGGTGGAGGCACTAGACCGCTGGAAGGGCAATGGGGCCTTGTAGGAGGTGCGCCTCTCGGGCACCAATGCTGGGGAATAAAAGGGTAGGACTATGAAAGAAAACGGGGCTGGACTGATGGATGATAACAGGGCCTGCTGGCTATTTAACGGATACCCATCTACTCTGGATTGTGATAACAGTTAGGCTTGGAACTATTTGTATGGTCCTTTCTTTTGGTAACTATCTATATAAGCTAGACAGGAAAAGCAATCCCAAGGTGACAGCAAAGGGACGGAGGGGTGGGAGGGGAGGAGGCTGGAGGTGGGGGTGGGAGGTGAGTGGTGAACCAAGAACAATGGGCACAGGGTTCTAAATTTGATGGTGAAAAGAGTGTAGTGAACCTAGTTGTGTGTGATCAATTGAAATGTATTCCATAGAAATTACTGAGAGATCAATGATGGGGAAACATGATAGTGGGGCAGGAGGAAATTAAAAAGAAAAAGAGGAAAGAACAAGAAAGTAAAAATTATATATAGATAGATATAAATATAGCTATGTATATATATAAAGACAGGTGTATCTGTCTATGTGTATATATGTAAATACAATAAGGAAGCAGATGGACTTGGGTCTCTACTTAAATCTTACCTCAGTATAGGAGCAGCTTGTCTAATAATGTGGCACTGTGTGACACCTTCCTAACTTGATCACTGAAGACAAAAGGGGTGCATAAACAAATTAGCTAATGGTGCTTAGCTATTAAGAGATATAGTGCCTGGGGTCTTAAAGGTTGGAAGTTAAACAAGCGGCCATCTCGCAGGGAAGCAGAAAAGCCCACATAAAAGAAGCACTCCAGCCTGTGTGATCATGAGGTGTTGACTGGGATAGGTATCAGAAGTTCAAAAACAAGCAACCAAATTGATGGAGCAAGAACAAAGTGGAGCCCCAAAACACACCTGTGAGAGAATTGGACAGTCCTCACAGAAGGGTCAGATGGAAGGGATGATAAATCTAGGGAACAGTATAGCATTGATGAAACACATAGCAAGTCTCTAGTTCTTTAAGAGTTCCTCCCCTTATTATTATGCTCTTTATTTTATCATTAATTTTGTTAGACTTGCATATGTTAATTTGTATAATTAAAGGTAAACAAGCGGCCACCTAGCTCAGAAGCAACAAAGCCCACATGGAAGAAGCACACCAGCCTGTGTGATCACGAGGTGTCGAAAGGATCAGGTATAAGGCATCATCAGAACAAAAAATCATATCATTGTGAATGAGCCGGGGGAGTGTGGAGTGGAGACCCAAAGCCCATTTGTAGGCCATGGACATCCGCTTACAGAAGGGTCTCTGGGAGGAGACGAGCCAGTCAGGGTGTGATGTAGCAATGATAAAACATACAACTAACTTTCCTTTAGTTCCTAAATGCTTCCCCCTCTGCCCGCGACTATCATGATCCCAATTCTACCTTAAAAATCTGGCTAGACCAGGGAATGTACACTGGTACAGATAGGAACTGGAAACATGGGGAATCCAGGGCGGATGATCCCTTCAGGACCAGTGGTGAGAGTGGCGATGCTGGGATGGTGGAGGGAGGGTGAGTAGGAAAGAGGGAACAGATTACAAGGATCTCCCTCCTTCCTGGGGGACGGACAACAGAAAAGTGGGTGAGGGGAGACGTGGGTCAGGGCAAGATATGACAAAATAATAATTTATAAATGATCAAGGGCTCATGAGGAAGGAGGGAGTGGGGAGGGAGGGGCAAAATGAGAAGCTGATGCCAGGGGCTTAGGTGGAGAGCAAATGTTTTGAGAATGAGGAAGGCAATGAATGTACAAATGTGCTTTACACAATTGATGTATGGATGGATTGTGAAGAGTTGTATGAGCCCCTAATAAAATGATTTAAAATTTTTTTGTATAATTAAGAGTGTTTGATGCATAAAAGTCAAGACAGATAAACCCTTCCGAAACAGGAATTGGGAGTCAAGATTTCCTGCGGCTATGGGAAGAGATGGGGGGACGAGGGCAAAGAGGGAGCTGATAGCCATGATGGCTATATAACCCTACTTGAGGGGACGAATTACAGAATTGCAGGTGAGTGGATATATTGGATGGTGTAAAACACAGCGAATAATAATAATAGACCAGGAAGGGTTCCTGGGGGTAGAAGAGGGGAAGGAGGTGATATCAAAGAGTTCAAGAAGAAAGAAAAGGTTTTGAAGCTGATAGTGGTAGCAATTGTAAAATTATGCATAATCTAACAGAATCATGGATTGTTATACCGTATATACTCGAGTTTTTCAGCACATTTTAATGCCGTTTTTTGTGGTAAAATTAGGTGCCTCAACTGATATTCGGATCGGCTTATACTCGAGTGTATATATGGTAATATCTGTAAGTGCTCTCAATAAAATAATTAATAAAACACTAAGAAATAAATATTCTGATATTAAGGAATACCTGACACTAACAAATATGCTGTTTAATCGTCTAATTACTTGTGACCCTTTGTATTTCAACATCCAGTACCAGCGGTTAAGCCTGTTGCTTTGCTTCTTAACTTAGTCAAACAGGAAAGTAAAAAACACCTCTTTCAAAACTGTGAGCAGAGACTATAGAAGTATGGCAAGGCTCTATTTCTAAGGACCGGATAGTCCATGTATTTCCGAAACAGAATTGAGTTGAAGCTACTCATCGTGTCCCCCCACCTCAGAGGAGGCAGGGAAACCGAGGGGGGAACGTGGACACATCCCAAGAGCTAAGGTTCTTGGCTGGCTGTTTATGTTACCTGTGCATCGTATCTGACTGCAGCGGAGAATAATGAAAAGGCGTTCTCCACGGTAATTCCTCGCTTGATAATGTGCTGGCAAAGTTTTTTCAGCCTGTTTTCACAATACGATGTCGCCAAATCCAAAAGACCTCGAAGTAAAAAAAATGGGGGCTGTTTTAATCAAGTTTACAATTTTTTTTAATCGTTTTATTAGGGGCTCGTACAACTCTTATCACAATCTATACAGACGTCAGTTGTGTAAAGCGCATTGGTACATTTATTGCCCTCATCATTCTCAAAACATTTGCTCTCCACTTAACCCCCCACCCCCATCAGGTCCTTATTTTTCCCCTCCCTCCCCGCTCCCCCCTCCCTCATGAACCCTTGATAATTCATGAATTATAATTTTGTCATATCTTGCCCTGTCTGACGTCTCCCTTCACCCACTCTTCTGTTGTCCGTCCCCAAGGGAGGAGGTCACATGTAGCTCCTTGTAATCAGTTCCCCCTTTCTAACCCACCTCCCTCCACCCTCCCAGTATCACCACTCACACCACTGGTCCTGAAGGGATCATCCACCCTGGATTCCCTGTATTTCCAGTTCCTATCTGTACAGTGTTCATCCTCTGGTCTAGCCAGACTTGCAAGGTAGAATTCGGATCATGATAGTGGGGGTGGAGAGGAAGCATTTAGGAACTAGAGGAAAGTTGTGTTTTTCATCGTTGCTACATCGCACCACAATTTTTAAACATACAAGGGGATTTCAAAAAGATGCTAAAAAATGCCTTTCTCTTTTACTTCCATTTTTCCAAGAACTTTTTGAAATCCCTTTGTATACTTTTGGTGGAGTTGAATAAGGAAGAAAAAAAAAAGTGGGGTCGGAAGGCTTCAAAAGAGTTTATAGGAAAATAGAATTGTTTGAAGTCCCCCTCATATCCATGTAAAGAACCCTGGTGGCACGATGGGCTACTCACTGGGCTGCGAAGCACAAGGGCAGCAGTTCAAACACACAGTCGGCTCTGTAGGGAAAACATGAGGCTGTCTACTCCTATCAAGATTTAGGATCTTGGAAACCCAAAGGGGCAGTTCCTACCGGGTTGTTATGAGTCAGAACAGACTGTAATGGCAGTGGGGACCGGGACTTCTACAGAGTAAGTCGATACGTGTTTCTTACAGCGCAATATGCTAATTTTAGTAAATATCGTCTCTTTCCTACTTTCTGGCCTCTGTGCCTCCAAAACATAGCTCCCCTGCCAAGTCTATATTAAAAGGGAAAAAAATTAAAATGGCATGTTCTCTTCTTTTTGTTCCCAAATTCAAAATAAAGCTTCCCCTATCAAAATGATATGCTAAACCCTAACAAACACCTTCAGTGTTAAAATATTAAGTTCAAATTCATCAATAAACTGTGCCCACATTATTCATCATAACTGCATACCACCATTTTAGAAGGCAGTTACTTTCAGTGCTTTAAAAAAACATACCCAATAAAAACTAATAAGACCTCAACCTTTGGTACTGTCAGAACACGAAAAGCTACATAGCTGGCCCTGTGGCTCATTCCCAGCGGAGCGGAGGTACCTATAGCATCTTCAGGGGGCAGATCCACTGTATCCGTGTACAAGTATTGGAGGAAGGCACGATACACGGGGTAAGAAAACTGGTCTATTTCTAGCACCTCCTCGGAGTCCTCATTCCAGTACGAGTGGAACATGGATCGAAAGTGCTCACACCTAAGGCCAGAAAGCAAACGTTTCCTGATCAAGTCACTGAAATTAGTTACAGTTATTACAGGCATCCCGTTAATCTCCGAAACTGGACCTTCACACACCAAGGTAATGACTCTTCAGTTCACATCTAAGACCATTGCCTGTGCCAGGGCTTTTAGGTAAGCTGTTTACAAACATTCCCATGCATTAAAAAAAAGAAGTTTTGTTATTGTTGAAAATATACAAAGTGCATATTCCAAGTCAATACTTTTTTTTTAAAACATTTTATTAGGGGCTCATACAACGGTTACCCCAATCCATAAACACATCAATTGTGTAAAGCGCATTTGGACATCATTCTCAAAACATTTTCTCTCCACTTAAACCCCCGACATTAGGTCCTCATTTTTCCCCTCCC